TTACATCCACCTGCGTTACCATTTTCTGTTATTTCAGCATTAACCGATAGCAAAATTTTGGTCACTATGCTAAACTATGCAAATTCACGAGGCCAAGAATTTGACAAAAAACTTGTCTGTGACCAGACAAGCTGAGCTGAAGCTTGTAGGTTAGGCTGCAAAATCCATCAACAATTATAAAATTGATAAAACAAAAGAAGAAAAGAACAAATGGCTATTACTCTGAAAGCTGCCGATGAAATCCATCCATGCCATGGTGACAAGGTTGCATCATAAGCCTCTTGAACTATTTGCTCCATATTCTTTTTAGGGTCATTTTCTAGAGTTTCTAACAATGCTGAGGAGAAATCCAGGGATCTGCAGAGTGGCACATCTTTAAGTGAATATTAAACAACTAATACATATGGAAAGTATACTCTATAGACTATCCAAGGAGACATAATTTATGCTGTTATTTAGTCTGAGTAACAGTTATTAGCCTGTTCTTTTTTATCAAAAAATTTAGAGCTAAAATTGATGATAGAACCTAATCCCGAGTGTGAGGAATAACAAAATAAGAAAAGAAAACAATATAATATATGTTTACCTAGTGAGCCAAAGAAAGGCTTTACTGCAACTAGACCTCTTCCTTGCCTTGCCTTTACTAGCTTCTGATTTCAATATTTCAACCAAATTTGAATTCATTGAGGGATCCATTTCGTGCATCAGTTCCAACCTCTGCAGTGACATAGAACTTAATAGCAAAGCCAATAATTGGTAGTTGACTATTCTCGCAATGTGCAATTACATTTTAACTGAAAAACTAGCAATCAACACACCTCATACAAATAGACAAGAACCAAAAACATTTAGAAGATCCCAACAATTATCATGCAGATAGTTTTCCTTCAACTGAACTGAATCAATTGAGAGTTTAAAATTCTATTTCTACCTTAATATTCTGGTGAACGTCTTGTCTCAAAACAGCCATCGTTGGGCCTATCTTATCTGCAAGAGAGCATCAATCAAACATAATGACAATGTGTTTGGTGTTACATCACATTCATGTTTTCAAATAAAAACAAGTTAGTAAACTCACCAAGAACTTGTAGAATAAAGTAACATAGAGATAGGAACGGCCTTGTGGGTATGTGTGCAATCTCATGATTTCCTCCAGGTTTGACTACAGCAAGCATAGACAATTCTTCAATGGCAGAGTTTATCTCTGAGCTCTTTTTCATCTCTCTGCTCCTCTTCATTCCCTTGTTACCTTCCCTCTCCCTCTTCTACTTCTCTTATACACACACACATATATATAGCTTCCAATACCCAACTTGGTTTCTTTATAAATAATTCTAGCTAGCTTGAGCCTAGAACTTCCAACTGTAATTAATCGATGATTATATATTATAGTTGCTCCCAGATAGAGAGAAAGAGAGAGTAAGAGAAGTTTCAAAACTTTGATCAAGTGGTTGAACCAAGGAGTGAATCTTGCTTTACCCACCGTGCCAATTATTTAATTGTTCTATTCATCTGGTAAAACAGCTAGTTTGGCCTCGACTCCTTTTTATTTTCTTTTTCAATTGCTTTGTTAATACTATTTTTCTGCTATCAGTTCCCTTTGGAAGTCATTGATGGTGACTTTATATTTGACCTTGTAGTTATCATCAAAGCCTCCCTTACCTTACGTTAATAAAACATTATCCGAATAAATCAAATTTGTATAGGTCCCATGACTGAAATAGACAAGGCCGAAGATTGTAGCCGTTTATCTCGATCTGGCATTCACTGGTACCCTTGTTACTACTACTTAGAATTCATGCATTTTGGTGTTAAATATTGGGCCTTGCGTCAGAAATGACAATAGTAGGATATGGTTTCACAACTGGGGGAGAATGTACCGGTACTACTCCTTAGGCCCGTGGCAAATGATGAATAGAAAATTACAGTTGATTAGCACTCCTGTTACAAGTACAAAGCAAGTTTGTTTCTGTTAAATAAATGATTTTCTTCTTCTGTATCTCTAATTCACTGTACTAAAGACTAATCCCATGATTGGTCCAGAGGATCGATAATGTGAAGAGTTAATTATGTAGAGTTTTTCTTTTAGAAGCTATTCAGTTATAATTTCTCAAATTAATTTTTTATTTTATATTTTTTTTCTATAAGAATTAATTACAGTTCGATGATGACGACTAATTGATAAATAGAAACTTTTTATTAGTTAAAATTATGGTGTGGTGCACGTAAAATCATCATGAAAGTGCATTAATAATACTTTTTAATAAAATTTTCCCATTTTTAATTTTTTAACCAGTGTCCGTGACACTATTAGCATTTGCCTAATAATAAAAATAAAATAGCAGATGAAGTAAAAAATAATTAAACATTAAGAAGTTAGGAGTACGTGCCAAAAAAAAAATTTAAGAAGTTAGGAGTATTTAAAGATTTATTATACGAATCCTATTGTTCTGACTAATTCTTACGGATATCAAAGGCAAAAGAAATGTATTGTGAAATAAATAATTAAGGGATTTTTTTTTACTAATAATAAAGATAGTGTATGAAAATGTGAAATGCAACTCTAAATAATAAAATAATTATTTAAGGTGTCTATTAAAAATATAAAGAAAATAAGATTAAGTAATTTGTGGAAACAATATGTATATTATAAACTATTTTTTTTACTATATTTAAAATTACAAAATAATTTATAATTATAAATATATTATATAAAATAAAAATAAAAACTTAGTGAAGGCAATAGATTCATCCCTACATAAGATGGTACATAGGGGAATTGCACATTTAAATTCATCATATTGAAAATTATTGATAAGTTTAAAATTTTCAAAACAAACATTATTATCTACTTAATAATTAAAAGAAACTCGATAATACTTAATTTAATCAAAATTTTAAAGAATGACAAAATTATATATATATAAAAAAACTAATAACATGATAAAAATCTTAGAATTAAGCACCTTCATCTATTTTATAGATTTTCAAACACCTTTTTCTAACTTTAATAAGTTTGTATTATAATTTAATGATAAAGATCGTTTAAATTTGATAATTTTTAATAAATTTGAGCTGATTATCATTCTTGATAGTATCAATCCCATCCTGTCGATCCGTATTTTAGCATTGCCGGCGCCCAACTCGAGTATGATTGTTTGTGTCGGAAGTTATTCTGTTTTGTAAGTTGTCCACCAACCACACGACAAACCCTTTCATTACGTATTCCCGTCCTTCGATTGAATTTTCTTATTGTCGGTTAATGATGGATCTTTAATTAAATTTTATGCGGAATTGCAATTGCTGCATTTGAAACTGTCTGGTTCAGCTTGTGGATATATATGTTCTCCATTTCTAAATTACACTTACATCACCATTCAAATTCAATCTATGTTAGTTACTGAAATCTGTTTTGTCAATTTTGGTTTAATGTTGGTTAGTTGTTTGGGCTTCATTTGTAACTCTATAAGAGCATTACATAGGTTAATAAATATTCAGCGAAGTATTTCAGTATTTTATACTTTTTCTTTCTTTGTATTTTAACATTTTGGCTTCAGAGCTCTTATTGGGGCCTGTGAAAAAAGTGAGTTGCATTTGTGATAGAGAGAATGTCAAATGCAAATGATAGCAATTTTGTACAACCAGCAATTCTGCGTTTCGATGGTCATTATGACCATTGGAGTATGCTAATGGAAAACTTATTAAGATCCAAGGAGTATTGGAGCTTGGTGGAAACTGGATTTGAAGTTTCAGAAAAGGGAGGTGCAACTACTGAAGTTCAGCAAAAGAAACGTGATGAGATGAAACTGAAAGATTTGCAGGTCAAAAATTACTTGTTTCAAGTCATAGACAGGACAATCTTGGAAACAATCTTGCAAAAGAATACATCAAAGGAAATATGGGATTCGATGAAAAGAAAATATGAAGGCAATGCAAGAGTGTAAAGGTCAATTCTTCAGGGTTTAAGGAAAGAATTCGAGATTCTTGAAATGAAATCGGGTGAGAGCATAACTGACTACTTTTCTCGGGTCATGAGTGTGGCCAGCGAGATGAGAACTTATGGAGAGCAGATGCATGATGTAATAATTGTTGAAAAGATTCTGAGATCCTTGACTAACAGATTTAATTACATAGTTTGCTCAATCGAGGAGTCTAAAGACATTGACTCTCTTTCTATTGATGAACTTCAAAGTTCTTTGATAGTTCATGAGCAGAAATTTCACAAGAAACATGAAGAGGAGCAGGCACTCAAAGTAAGTTCTAAAGAAAGAAATGACAATGGAGGTAGGGGCAGAGGCAGCTATAGAGGAAGAGGAAGAGGAAGAGGGAGGCAAAATCGAGCCACAATTGAATGTTTTAAATGTCATAAACTCGGGCACTATAAGTATGAATGTCCATATTGGGATAAAGAAGTCAATTATGTTGCATTCAATGAAGAAGAGCTTTTGCTTATGGCTTTTGAGGATTTGCATGATGTGCAGACAACAAATGCATGGTTCTTGGATTCTGGTTGCTCAAACCACGTGTGGAAATAGAGCTTGGTTCAAAGAAGTAGATGACACCTTCAAGCAACATGTAAAGCTTAGTAATAACACAAGAATGGAGGTGAATGGAAAAGGAAATGTTAGGCTGAACATTAAAGGAGTCACTCACGTAATTACTGATGTGTTTTTAGTACCAGAACTCAAGAACAATTTGTTGAGTATAGGGCAGTTGCAAGAAAAAGGCTTAACCGTAATGTTTTAGTCAGGAACCTACAAGTTGTACCATCCTGATAAGGGTTTGATTCTAGAAACTAATATGACAACAAATAGAATGTTCATTCCATTTGCTCAATCTACAACCAAGAAGTATTCATGCTTTCACATCTCTACTTAGGATCTCTCATCTTTATGGCATCGTAGATATGCACATCTTAGTCACAAAGGACTAAGAATTTTACACAGCAAAGGAATGGTTAGAGGCCTTCCCTCTTCATTTTCTACAACGGAAAAGGTGTGTGAAGATTGTATGAAAGGAAAGCAACATCGAGATCCCATCCCAAAGAAAATCCAATGGAGAGCAAAACAAAAATTAGAATTGATTCATGCAGATATTTGTGGCCCAATCACTCCATCTTCCAATAGCCAAAAGAGGTATTTTTTATGTCTTATTGATGATTACTCTAGAAAGGCATGGATTTATTTCTTAACGAAAAAATCAGAGGCATTTCACTACTTTCAATGTTTTAAGAATCTTGTTGAAAAAAGAATCTAGTCTGATGATTAAATGCCTCAGAACTGATAAGGGAGGAGAGTTCACATTATTGGAGTTCAATGAATTCTGTCAGAAAATAGAAATTAAAAGACAATTAACAACAACTTACACCCCTCAATAGAATGGGGTAGTTGAAAGGAAGAATAGAACCATCATGAACTTAGTGAGAACTTTATTATCATAGAAGAAACTTTCAAAATCCTTTTGGCCTAAAGCAGTAAACTGGGTAGCGTATGTACTAAATAGATCTCCAACATTGGTTGTCAAGGATCAAACGCCAAAGGAGGCTTGGAGTGGTGTCAAGCCTTCAGTTGAGCATTTTAGAGTGTTTGGTTGTGTAACTCGTGTACATGTTCCAGATGCAAGGAGAACCAAATTGGAAAACAAGAGTGAGGAATCTAAAGGATACAGGCTCTATAATCCAATTACAAGGAAGATTGTGGTAAGTAGAGACGTGGTCTTTGAGGAAGACACTCAATGGAACTGGAATGTCAGTCATAGAGAAGAACTAATTGAAGATTTGGAATGTGGAGATACTAAAAACACTACTGAAGTTGAAGAAGAGAATACAACAGATAGTGAATCTAATGACGAAGAAGGGAATCAGTCACAGCATGAAGAAAATAAAGTGATCAATGATGAAAGGGGCAAAAATAGACACCCACCTAGTTGGATGAGAGATTATGTAGACGGAGAAGAATTCTCAGAATCTGAAGATGCAATAAATATGGCCTTAATAGATTGTACAGATCCTGAAAGTTTTGAAGTTGTTGTAAAAAGCTCCAAGTGGAGAAAGGCTATGAATGTTGCAATTAACTCCATTGTGAAAAATGGGACATGGGAACTCACCGATTTACCAGCTGGAGCAAAGAAGATAGGAGTCAAATGGATCTACAAGACTAAGTTGAACGAGATTGGTCAAGTGGACAAGTATAAGGTTAGGTTAGTGGCTAAAGGTTACTCTCAACAACATGGGGTAGACTATACAAAGGTGTTTTCTCCTGTAAATAGAATGGACACGGACACTGTGAGAATGATAATAGCTATTGCAGCAAGTAGAGGGTGGAAATTGTATCAACTTGATGTGAAATCAGCCTTTTTGTATGGCACTCTAAATGAGGATGTATATGTGGAACAACCAAAAGGTTATGTGCAAAAGGGATGTGAGAATAAGGTCTACAAGCTTCACAAGGCTTTATATGGGCTAAAACAAGCCCCTAAAGCATGGTTCAGTCGAATCGAATCATACTTTATTAGTGCAGGATTCAAGAAAAGCAATCATGAGCAAACTTTATT